TATTTTTAATTATTTTAATTGATAAAATATTTCGAATTCAAGTTCGAGTTCGAGTACAAGTGATTGAGTTTTTGTTAAATACAAGAATCGAACTTATTTTTACAAATTAATCGAGTATAATCAAGTGAGCTCGAGTAATTGAATTTCTATCTTGAGTCAAGCTTGAGCTAAAAAAATAAAACTCGATCAAGTTTGAACCGAATTTCGAACATCAAATTTGAAATTGACCTTGAAATTAAACTTAACATTGTATCGATTTAAACTCGATTGATTACACTCTTAGAGGGAGTTGATGTTTTGCCGCTACACAATCCTCATGAGCATACCACCATGGTGCTTTGTGAATATTCTTAAAGGGTGGTGTCTTTCTCATTTGAGTTAAAAGGTTTTGCTTGAAAATGTTAAGTGTTAATAATAAAAATTTGGATTTTTTTACCATTTTTTGGATGTTTTATTTGTGTATAGGGATGAACCAAATTGGAAAAGAAAATTTGGAGGGGAGAGGTTTTGTAATTATTCAATTAGCTCATCATTTTTCTATTTAATCTAAGGGATTTCTTTTCAATTCTAGCTCCTTCTATTATCTTTTTGTCGATTAATTTTTAATATACCTTTAATCGCCATTCCATCAGAATTCGACTTTCATAAGTTAGAATAAACGAGTGATTATAATGGTAATTGAAAAAATAAGTAGATAAACAAATCATAAAAAAGGATGAGTGTTCACTTCTTCTCCGTGTAAAGGTTAGAGTTGTTAATCTGATTGCTTGAATTTATATTGATGGAAATGCATTAATATGGTGAGATAGATCATTGTCCAATGCGCAACCACCATGATAAGAGTACCAAAATTGAATCTATGGATGTTTTGGAGGGTGGTGACGCTATTGATCCATAAGTTGAGATGAAAATTTAGAGATAAAATAAAAAGCATTATTTCATGATAGAATCTGGCCAATTAAATAGAAGGAAAGGGATTTAGTTAAGGCCTTTATGCCTATTCTATTTCTAGTCAAAGAATTAGGGCATAGTAAGTAACAAGGGCATGTAACCCATAGAACATATACTATTGGTTAAGAGTTTATGGATAATTAAAAGCATTTTGAGAGAATTATCATAAAATTCTTTAATTTAAACATCGAAACTCAAAGAATTAAATATTTGTTTATTTTTAACATTTAATTTAGTTAATTTATGTAATCACTTTTAAAAAGATAACATCCAATAAATTTAAAATTCAAATTTTAATATTTATAATTTTTTCTTCTATCACGATGTTATGATTTTTTTTATATAAAAAAAGTTCTTATTTTTTTAAATTAAAAATCTAAAAATATAAACATTTGATTGATCAACGATAATAGATGTCTACATTCCCTATTTTAAAAATCTAAATTCGAATCCTTCTCATTGTGATAAAAAAACGAAGATTTCCCGAGAATATTTCTTCTTTTTGGGAAAAAAAAAAGAGAAGTTGAGCTAAGCAATGAGCTTCTATGCTATTTGAACATATGTACAAGGTGGAATATACTCCCACTAAGGCAACAAATTATGTGAAGCCTAGAGATTGGACTTGTCCACTTGGTATATATGTGTTGACACCAATTATTAAACAAGTTCTCATCAACTCTCTCAAGAATCATAATCCAATTCCCACAACAATCCATCATCAATAACTTTTTCCTTCCCCTTTTATCATGCTTTTATACCTATCAAAAGTGGTATAAAAATTTGTACCAACCAAAATAGGGTTCCTATTAGCATTTTTTTTTAAAAACTCATGACTAAAGCATTGATTTGAGTTTAAGATCTCACACCTGTATCAATTATTATCGAGTTTTTTTCTTTCTTTCTCTCCTCTCTCTTTTTTTTTTTTTTTCCTTTTGATCCAAAATGAGCATCAAAGAACTGCTTATTCTATCAGTAAGACTTTATCTTAATGGCAAGAAGTAGTAGCTAAATATCAGAAATTCAAGTTCAAATTAAGTTATATTGTTGGCAGATTTGAGTTAATTTTATGTTAATTTTTTTTAATTAAATGATGATTAGTTTGTTTCTTTAATCATGGGATAATGTTCTAATTCTTTACTTAGGATGATGAATTAAATTTAATACTAATTTTTAATGGTACAATTTTACCAGTATAACGTTCTAATTTAGTTCAAAAATTAATAAAAGGTTAGAATGTTCTCTAAAATATTACAATATTTTTTACACAAAATATTTTTTTACTTAACTTTTAATTAATGTTTAAATAAATTAAAGTACAACTATAAAAAATTTTAATTAAATGTTTAAAAAAATTAAAGTACAACTATAAAATTGCATTCGTCCAAAGATGAATGATAATTTAATTTATTATTTTATGGAAAATGATAAATTTGAATCTTTCATTAAAAAAGAAGTGCTGAATAAGAATCTTTCATTGTTATGCTGAACTTGATGTACACAATGTGCACAATATTTAACTACAGTAGCAGCCACAAAGGAAGAAGACCTGGCAATCTTTGAATATTGTGAGAGAAAGTACATATAGGATTAGGATATATATATAATATATAATATATATATATATATAGATATAGAGTTAAAGATAATGATCAGATAAACTTTGGGTGAACATATATAGTTATGACTGCATTTAGATTAATTTAGATGATAATAAAGAATAAAATTTTCCTGTAAAAAGATAGAAAAGCTTATAAACACTTCACAGCACCAATATTTGTTATAATTTTTTTTTCAGTATTAAGATTCAATTTTCAAACTTGTTGAATGTTATTTTTTATAAGTGATGTATGAATCAATTGAATTAAATTTTAAGTAAAATATAATTTTGATGATGTCTTAATATTTATTTATTAAAGATGTCAAAATATATTTATTTATTAATTAATTATAATGAATTTATTAATTAATTTATTTTGATCGTTAAACATTGCTAATTTATTTCTAAAATGATAGATAGTTTTGATTTTTCTTGAATTCAAGTAACAAAATTAAATTTAATGTCATGGCTATGCTCAGGTTATCAACTTGGCTTTGGATGCGTGGAATCTGATTATATCCGAAGCTGACTAGTTCTATGCAAAGCAAATACGCAGCTTAATTTTTTAATTTTATATGTAATGGTGTTAGTAAACATATTTTGAAATGTTTGCATATATAATAATTTGATTGCTCTAATTATATATTTATATGAATGGAGTACCATTAGTATTTTGTAATCATTTTTTTTTATTCGAGATCTTTGGATATTTGAAAATCATTTTAATCTCAATTAATTTGAATTCAAATTAGGTTAAACTTTATAAAGAGAGTAAATTTTCACAAACTTATTTTTTCAATTTATAAAATTTAAAATTGAAACT